GAGGCTGCTGTAAGCTGTCTTCATTGTGCCTGTACCCTTCTGAGGCAGCCAGTAGTTCAGGGAGGAAGGATGATTTCCGTGGGGGGAAGTCAGGCATCCTCTGCGTTTGAACGGAGCAAATGATGCACACAACAAAAAAAGTGTTGTGTTCCCTGCATGTGTTATTTGGATGCTTGGGTTCTCCACTAAGGATGCTGCCCAGGGAAAAGGGATGGTGTTTTTTCAAGCCTGGGTCAGACTGTAATCTAAGGAACTGTTTTATCACGAAAATTATGCATAGGTATTAGACGTCTGTCCTAATGGCTGCTTCTAATTGTGATTTCAGGCAGCAGCTTTGCCCTTTAGGAGGCTCACAACAGATCAGAGCAAGCATTTAGCCGCCTAAGGAGCCAGAGTCTCGCCAGCATAGGCTCCAGGTCGCATTAGAGCCTTGGCTTTGGTGACGTCTGGTGCAAATTCAGTGGGGACTTTTGGATTCAGGAAATGATAAATTACAAGTTGTGCTATGAAGGAGTGCACCACAAAAACACCTTTATTAAGTAGAATAGACCTGACTTGTAGCTGTTAATTCCACATTGATGTTGCTCAGTGCCCAAATGTGGTTGTGGCCCACGTGAGTCTAGCTGTTGTCTGGCGATTTTGTGGGTCGGAGTGGTTTAATGCTGCCATTCCATGATAAAAGTGAAATATCTATTGAAAACTGAGTTGATTTGAAGTTGATTGCATCTCTCAGACAATTTTGGAAGCTATCAGTTGACTTCCTTCGCTGTTGCCTTCTCTTTTATAAATTTGATCTGACTTTGCAGCAGTGTTACTTTTAGTAATTAGTTCAAGTTTTTCCTTTGGAAGACATACTGTTTTAAAATCGGTTATGGTTTCTGTTGTCTGTCTGAAATTTTCCTACAGAAGGCAATTTCTTCCCAAGTGTTCATTTGTGAAACAAGTCTCGTTTTTATGGCAACACTGGTAGAAATTTTGCAGACCCCAGAAATGAGTCCTGTCCCGTGCTACTTTGGTACAAATCTGAAAGTTAGCTCGCTTACCGCAGGAGGTCTGAAGGAGCACCGATGAAGATACAAGACCGAGCATCAGCTGCGTGGGTAACCCTTTGCAAGGAGATTTTATACTACTCTAAGTTTAACTCCTTAGTGCTGCACTGAGCATGGTTTAAGTGGAGATGATCATCATTCTCTGTGTTAGAAGTGTCTGCAGTTTAACAGTGGGGTATGTACGGTGCTTGCACTCTGGTTCAGTAAGTGCACATGCAATTGATTTTTTTTTTATTTTTTTTTTATTTTTTTTTTTACGTATGAGGGGTCCTGCCGACTGGAAGTTATGCTTAAGGTTATCTCTGCCTGCAAGTGTTTATATGATTGAGGCTGAAATCCTCTTCATCCATCGAGTAAACCTACCCGAGGTGCAGTGTATCGCCAAGTCACGAGGCGGCTATGCTGGACGCCATGGTGTTGTGCACAGGACTGCATTTGTTACTGCTTCTGGTTGTTTTCATTAGACGCAGGAAACAATGGATGCATTTTAGTGTTGAGGATTTTGGCTGCGCCTCCGACTGGCTACAGCTCTCTTTGGTGAGGGCTGGAGGGTTGCTGTGACAGCTCAAGTCAAAAACCCCCAGGTGATGGGGCATATCTTCTGGTACTCCTTATTCAAAGTGTAAAATAGGAGTCCGGCACATCTCTTACCACCACCTCCAGTTTACTCAAAGCAGCCAGACTTGTTGCAGATGTAATTCCAGTGATACACCAGGGCAGGATTTGACCCTCCAGTTTGATAGCCTCATGTGTCTGTGAGTAATTAAAAATAACTAGTAATGCAAAATGAAGGAGTATGCTTCTGTAACTAAAATTGCGATGGTCTTTATCTTGCCCTGCTGTGATACTGTGTTGGACATCTCTTGCAGAGTTTTGTGCTTTTCTTTAAAATCCAGGCTTCTGAAATTAGGTGACTGTGTGACAAGAGCAGGGCTGTTTCTAACTCCAGTAGTTGTTGGAAAAAGGTCACGAAAATGTTGCTTCTTCCTCTGCGACTCAAAGCAGGGATGGAGGTAACATGAGCTTTCAAGCCAGCAGTGTGGCTGACTTTTGACTTTTCAAGTGCCTGGGGCTGGCAATAAAAGGATTAGGTGGTGCAGCAGCCATCTGGCTCTCAAAGCAGGAGGTGCTCCCTTGCAAACTGGGAGGCTGCCTTGTGAGAGAGACGTCCAAATTTTGCCTGGCTTTGGTGTATCCCCACTCCCATCCATGCATCTGCTTCCCCACCTCAGCGCAACAAAAAACAGTCTTGCAAAGAGCATCACATTTTGAGCCAGTGGGTACGAGGAGTGGAGTAAAAGGACTAAAAGCCGGCTAATGAAAGAAGATGTATTGATGGTAATGAAACACTGGAACAGGTTGCCCAGAGAGGTGGTGGAGGCCCTATCCCTGGAAACATTCAAGGCCAGGTTGGACAGGGCTCTGAGCAGCCTGATCTCGTTAGCGGTGTCCCTGGTCCCTGCAGGGGGGTTGGACTGGGTGACCTCTAGGGGTCCCTTCCAACCCAAAACTTTCTATGATTCTATTTACCTGTGTCCCCTTGTGGCATGCATCAGCCTTGGGTTACACAAGGCAAAATGTGAATATGTTTTTCCTGGGGATTTGTGCGTGCATCAGTGTTCATTCCCCCCCTTCCCTGTCGGCATCAGCAGCCACCCTGCTGAAGCAGGCAGGCAGGCAGAAGTGTGCACGCACATTTGAAGGGCAGCTTTGTGAGTTCCCTAACACAACCTGACTGCCACAGGGTGGGCACGTATGGAAAACACTGTTGGCAATACCAGTCATGACAGTATTGGTACCCTTATTGTAAGCGTTCATACTGTGTGTTCAGTATAATGCAGCATTGCCTGTGGTTTATGTCACTAGCCATAGGAAAATCCAAATGAAACGCGTTGTTGAGAAAAAAGAGGAAGTTTGCATCATTCGCAAAGACATTTTTCCCCTCTCTGGAGCGTTAGTTTTTTATACGTGCAGGTACAGAAGTGTTAAGTTACATTTGTACCAGAGCCATTGATGTAACAACGTCCAGAGTGGCACAGAGTGGATGCAGCTCCCGAGTCTCCCTGGGGTGCCAAGCACCCGTCTCGGAGGGAAGGCAAAAGCAGCTGCTGGTGGTGGCTGAATCCCTCCGTAGCCCCCGTCCGCCTGCTCGGGCTGGGTCAGGCCCTGCCGGCACGCAGCGCTGACCACCCCAGGCAGGGCAGGGCTCACCCTGGTGACCAGCCGCTTTTTAAACCACGAATTTTCATTTTTGTTCATTGCTTTTGACTGTGGAGGAAGGGCCAGGCTGTGGTGGGTTTCCATACGAATTTTAGCCCCAGTACCAAAGGAAGGGGCTGGAAGGTCTTCCGCCGTCGGAGGGACGGTGAGTGCCGGGGATTGCCCGTGCAGCTCCGTGACACCTCAGTGCAGAATGGCTGCTGCACCTGCAGAGAAGTCTCCCACCTCTGCTCCAGAAAAGAAATTAATGAAAGGAAGAGCAGCGACATTTTGGTTTAGACATTTTGCCTTTTAAAGGAGGGAGGTAGAAGCTAATCTATCAGTGCTCTTGAATCTACTGAATTAACGAATCTGAGTTATCACTGGCACGCAGTGTTTTGTTTTATGCATAAAAGTGCTGATGGAAAAGTTTATAGACTAGATATTTTTAATTAACTTTTGAGTCGGTGCTTTCCTGAAATTACTTTTGAGAAGATAAAATTTTGGGGAGTCATGTGTTTGCCAAGTTTAAACGATTTATTAAAGCTGGTTGATAAATACCAAGAAAGTCCTCTGATTTGCAGTTGCTCAGGGCCTGATCCTGCTGTCATTTCTGCCAGCTGAAAAACTTCAGATCTTCTATAAACCATCAACTCTGTCTATAGAGATCTCACCTTCCAAACTTCTTGCAAAATACTAAGCATAATACTAATGTGCTCCAGCCCTGCAAATGACCCCGTGTGATGGTCAGCTGGAGCGTTTAAGTGGACTTTTGGGCTGATGAATTAAGCGGTGCATTTACACCTGGTGCTATTTCAGTATCAGGGTTGCTGGCCTTTTGTAAGGTAGTGATTGGCCCCGTCTTGAGTGTTTCCAGGGACGGGGCATCTACAGCTTCTCTATCAACTGTCTTGAGTAGTTTTGCGTGGCTGTGGCTGGTTTCCCTCAAGCGTGGTGAGAGCGCGGGGGACTCTGAGCTGGGATGAGAGGATTCCCAAGGCTCCCCAGGGCAGGAACACACTGATAGCACTCGCAGGTGTTTACAACTGAGCAGCTGGGTTTATCTCTTCCCTAAATGAAAAACGATGCTGAAAGAACCACGTGCAAACTAAGGGAAACTTATTTCAGATAAGCAGATTTTTTTCTTTTCCGTTTACGGATGAAAATATTTCTGCTGTTCAGAACAGCAGCAAGTAGGAGTTCAGTGAAATACAGCTTATTTAAGGTTTGAGGCAGCACCAGCAAACTTCTGTCCCTGTCCATAGTAGATGAAGTGTCACTACACTAAAAATTAAATCTTTTCTGTCCTTCCGGTTTTGTTTTTTCTAAAATTCTATCACACTACTGTGTTTGTGTATTTTCAACATTTGGAATTGTCCACAGGGACTGTAAATTCAGTTGCTAAAGAAACAAAATAACCAAGCTGGTAGCTGTGCCCTGCTAGCGGCCTGTGCTTCTCTCCGTCGTTTCTTCTGCCCAGCCTGCGAATACACGAGAAATGGAACAAGATAGCTGATGGACCAAATGGCTGCAAATGTTGTGTCTGTGGGAATTCTGTCATGTAATTACCTTTCTATTTCCATCATGTAGATGTATTCTTATGTTTTGCACTGCTGGCGTCCTGTAAAACATTGTGTAGCTGATTTTTTGCCTTTGTGGATTTCAAATCTGTATAATTTGCCCTTTGTTAACTTCCCCTGCCATCTCTAACCATTGCTGTTAAACCCCTTGTTTTGAACCCGCTCGGTTTAGATGCCAGACCAGTTTGATCAGACGGTGGTGCTTAACCAGCTGCGCTATTCTGGGATGTTGGAAACAGTCAGGATTCGGAGGGCTGGCTTCCCTGTCCGGAGGCCCTTTCAAGACTTTTATAAAAGGTAAGCACACTGACTTGTGCACTTCGGCTACGAGTCACGGGCGCCTATTTGACATTCCTGTGTTGAGGAATAAAGTAAAAATCTAATAACAAAAAAAGCACATGGCGAAAGTAGAACTTGTCTCTTAAATGAAGTAATAAACACTTTTTGGTTACCAGGTATAAAGTCCTCATGAGAAACTTAACTCTGCCGGAAGACTTAAATGAGAAATGTGCCGTCCTACTTCGTCTGTATGACAACACAAGCACTGAATGGCAGCTTGGAAAAAATAAGGTAAAATAAACTGACCGTGCATATTGTGGGGCTGCTGCTTCTTAGTGAAAGCTGAGGGGACAGGATTTAGGCTGCACAGCTGCAGAGAGGTAGTTGTAATGGTAATTACTTTTGGCCTTAAAAGAAGCTGCGCATGCCTTCTGGTGCTCTTGAAACCCTTATAGAAACAATTAATGGTTGTGCTGAGGAATTTGCTGTCTAAGGCACTTAGACACTGACTGGTGATTTCACTCATGAAGAAAGAGTCCACTGGAATTTTCGGCCACTGTTCACAAGCGATGGCTCTGGTGAGAATCAGAACTTAACATGTGGTAGCTGGATTTTATCATTTTTAGAAGTATCGAGCATGTAAGGTAACACTTTTGTTCTGCAGGGAGCTCCGCTTATACTAGTAAACCCACCTGGGTGATACCTGCTCAGTGGCTGAAATCAGGGGGAGGAATTTTAGCCAGTGTTCACATAGCAGAGTTGAGCTCTAAGTGTGTTTGCCATCCTAGTCCAAGAGTCTTCTTTGGAGCTAATTAGACCTTGATAAGTGTCCTACCGGACAACCTGAACTTTGCCTGCAACTTTTTTTCTTCCAAAAAAAATTCAAATTATTTTAATTAAAAGAATGGAATTTTAATTTGAGAAACAAAACAGTCCAGGTGGTTTTGCATGCTTGTTTTTGCAAGTTTGATTTTGGACAACAGTTGTGTGCAGAGCTTCCCTCCTTCTTGCGAATTTGTGCTCTGGGATTTACCAAATTATGTGAAAGCATTGCGTACCCTTGCACGATCTGAGATTTCCTAAATAGCAAAAATACCTGGTGCAAAGGACTAGAGAAACGTCAGGCCATCGCTGCCAAGGATCATCCCCCAGGCCTCTGCAGACGGCTTTCTCTTCTCTTTTTCTCTGGGTAACTCGTGGTTGCGCTCCCAGGGCTTCTGCAGCGGAGAGAGAATGAAAAACAGATCCAGAAGTAAAGTTTGCTGAGTTATGTGTTACGCTTGCCGTTTTCCTGTCAATTGCTAGAATTGTGAAAAACCTTTCTCATTACCATAAGGTAGCAAAAATATTTTGTAAAACCTGCTTGACTTTTGTGTGAAAAGCCCTTCCTCCTCGTCCTTTTCTCCCCATAACTGCACAGTTTTCAAGGGCTTCCTCCATTCCTCTGCATGCTTCAGATGCTATTGGGAAAGCTGATTTAATCATTTTACAGTTATTGTGAGAGGTAGAATCTGCAATATTCTGATGGCAATTGGAATCATCTTTCTTCCTATTTTTGTAGACGATGGGTTACAAAATACAGTGACGATGTTCACCCACAGAGCTGGGCTGTGCTTCCCATTACACTTTCAGATATGTTATAGTAGTAATATTTACGCACAGACCCCAGACAGGGCTTTGGCATCTTAGGGGCATATATTTGTACAGAACCCAAAATTGTTTTAACCAGCTGCTCATCGGGACCCCGTCAGGAGGCAGAGCTCTGTTGTAACTTCCCTAACTGGGGCCTGGGCTCAACCCCCGCCCCAGGAGCTGCCTGCGCATTTCTGAGAGTCCTCATGAACAGCTTATTGTAGGAGGGAACAAGAGGGCATTGGCTTCAGACTGAACGTGGGTTGGGGCACTATCCTGCCCCTGTTATTTAAAAGGGGTAATAAACAACATCGCGATGCTGGAGCTTCAGTGTGAGTTTTTCTTGTCTTTTCCCTCTCGAGCCGCAATGCACCTGCTCAGCAAAAGGCCTTAGCCTGGGCTTGACAGGTGCTTAATGTGCATTTCTGTTCAGGAAGTAGCCGGATGCCTTTCCGAAGCAGAATTTCGGTGTGTTTTTAAAGCCAGCGCGTGTAGAGCAAAGGAAGATTGCCCAGTGGGTGAAAGAAAAGGCTTTTTCCATGAGTAAAAGCTTTGTATAGAAAGAGCGGCTCAGTGCAACTCGGATACTGGGACTTTGGGACTTTCTTTGGGACTTCTTATGTTCCTTAGTGCTGGGTAATTTGTGGTAAAGTGTAGTCCCTTTCTAGCTGCATTCAAAACTCACAACTGTGCCTCTCCTCATGAGTGCTGCTGCATTGACTTTGATGATGTTTTTTTTTCCCCCTAGACACAGAGGGGAGGGAACTACCTTTTTTCTACTTGAACACCCCCGAAAGGCCGTATTTTTCATCCCCACCCCAACAAGAAAAAACCCAAGACACTTGAAAGGAAGCA